CCTGTATGACAAACAAAAACTGATGACTTCTGCTCCCGATGAAGTCATGGAGGGTACCAAGGAGGAGCCTAGAGTAACTGTCCAGGTAGCAGGTAAGTCTCTGTCATTTTAATTGATACAGTGGCCATTTGGATTCTACTTCCTGCTCAATGTATTCTCAGATATGTGAGGAGGCTTATGGTAAACAGCAGTTTTATCATTCTAACAACAGCAAGCAGCCAGTTCCTCCACAAAGGCTGCAGCTGCCTGGTCAGTCCTTTTCAGATGTAAGAATCAGGTCTTGCTTTTGAGGGTCTCCAGGTCTTCTGCTGAGAAAGGCAGACTGGAAGACAGATTTTCCTTGCTCAGGGGCTTCACACTGAAAGGAATAAACTCACAAAACAGCTTTCCATGTAAAATTAGACACAAATAATCATTGCTACTATTGCTAACTCAATGTTTACTGTCTATTAACTTTATTTAAAAGAGTTTGATTTCGATGGCTGCTTTCAGTAATCAACCCCTGTGCCTTCATAGTAAATGCTTTGGGAAAGTTTATAAAAGCTATGAGGGTCTAAGGAAGTGGTTTATGTATGTGAAAATGAGATTTAAAGTGATGATGCACAGATGATGCAAAGACTTCAAAAGTTAATCAGTGGAGTCCTTATAAGTTCTTAGTTAGTCATGGTAAAGCACTAGCTGCCAGTATAGTCACAGGCTCCAAATTTTAAGTTTCCTTTGGTTGCTTTCTAAATATAGAATTAAAAGTGCTTATCAATGTGATGAAAATATCTCTTCTTACAGACACGTGTTAAATGACTTTTTTACTCTGAGGATATCAGTGCAGGTTACAGACAGCAGTCATGTTAATGTATGCGAAATTTGTATCTCTCTCACTTCTTTTATAAACTTCAAAAAATTCATGCAACTCAGGGAGTTCCTGTCTACTGCCTGTCCTTGGGGGTGGACTGTCTCCTTCACCTGATGTTGGGATTCCTTCCACCTCCCCGACTACAAGGACTGCAGACCTGGAAGTTGCAAGTGTATATCCAAGATAAAGATTTTTCCCAAGGCTTCTATCCCTAGTCTACACCAGTCCCAGCAGACGTCCACTCAGCTGATAGACACCATCCAGAGAGCAACTATGGGCTGCAAACTGCTCCAAAACAGCTTTCATCATTCCAACCTCAGGTGGAACTGCAAAACTAGCAAGCTCTGGACTTGCTGAAAGCCCATGTAAACCAGAGACAGAGTTCTTCTGACATAATTTCCTCAGGTCACCTGCTGTTGCCTACCGGTTTAAGACCCCACTTTGGACCAGCATTCCAGACTGCTACAGAGCAGGCTGGACTTCGCTAGTTTCAGGTTGTCCTGCAGAACTTGGGCAGTGAAGCAGATGTCCCCTGCCCTATTTCCTGCTTTTGAATGGCATTCCAACTCCCTGATCCTTGACAATGATATGCTAATTTTATCTGAGAACCAATCACAGAAAAGATTAGGTTGCCACTTATCAGAGGATAGGAGAAAGAGTTACCTCCCAAGGCTCTCTAAGGAACGCTACCATTTCAGTCTTAAGTTCAATCTTGTGTCCATCAACTCTTGGGCAGTTTGTTCTCCTGTTCCCTGTCACAGAGCCAGAGGGCCTGTGTGACTCAGGAAAGGGGTTGAGTACAGGCCTAGGGAAAACTTGCTTGAGTCTCAAGTGAATGGATCAAACTCCACACTCCATAGTCAGCATCCCAGCTTGTACCTAGTCAGATGGGACCACCTGGAAACAGCAGCCACTCTGTTTTCACCCAGAGGGATCATTAGCACAGTTAGTATCCAAGTTTGAGGTGACAAAATCTGATGTATGGAAATTAAGAGGTTGCGTGAGTTAGTGGAAGGTTTCAGGGCAGGGCAGGACGCTGCACCAAGGAGCATGTTGCTCCCTGCACAGCTGCCATGTTTCCACCCCACCTCTCTTTTTCTCCACTGTCAAATCCCCTGCTGTAATAAAGGAAAATGCAGAAAGAAAATAAGCAGGTGTTTTTGCTCAAAATGATTTGTCCCTGGGCCCAGGCCCCTCCATCTTCCACAAATAAAGAGCAAAAGGCTTTAACAAAGGACTTAATGACCCTGCATGTGACGAAAGAGGAGGGGCTGTTGGCTCCACTAGAAGAATAGGAGCCATTTCAGGGAATTTTAAGACAGTCTCATCAAAAAAGGAAACTTCCTCCTCATCTACTGAGGCAATGTGAAGCAAAAAATATTAATTCGATAGTTGACACTGGTTCCTTGTTCTCAGGTTATTCATTGCTATTTTTAAATTTTTCATTTTAAACCTTTGTCCCCATGTGTTTTTTTTGTAGTAAACCAACTGTATTTACTGTAGTGTTGACTACAATTTGTTCCATTTTATATTTTGGATCTAAACAACCTCCTATTAAACTCCACAGTGCAAACACAATGATATGAAACTCATATCATCCTTGTAGGTGGCATCCTGTCTTTAAACTTGCACTTATACTTTCCCAGGTTTTTAAGGTTACAGAACCTTCTTCATGGAGCCAAGGTCAGATTTTTGGAGTGAAATTAAAGAGCTTCCCTAAGCATTTTAGCAAAACAATACAAAAATAGGAGCAGAAGCAAACTATTACAGAGTTTGAGACCACCAAAAGAAAACCATAGATTCAATACAAGCATTATTTAAAATTTTATTGATTCCTGCTGTCAGGACAGCAGTCTCTGAGTCAAAACATGAGACTTCCACGAAAAGGAGGATGAGGGAAAGATTTCCAAAGATGAAAACCGCATGAAGACCTTGCATATAATAAGTGAAGGCTGTTCTACTCTGCCAAGACTAGGTAGTCAAGGCCACCTCAAAACGGTACTTAGATGTATGCATAAGCAGAAAACAGAAGCCAAAAAGCAGTTAGTCATAGCATAACAAGTAGGTGGTTATGGCTGTACATTTCTGGGTGGGGATCACAGAGTCAGGGTTACTGGGAACATGTCTTCCAGGGACTGGAGTCAGAGACAAATGGCTAGTGGACATAGCCTAACATAAAATGGAGTGTCTTAATGTGCTGTCTGGTTTTATGTTAACTTGACACAAGCTAGAGATATCTGAAAGCAGGGAACCTCAGGTGAGAAAATGCTTTCATCAGATACATCTATAAGGCATTTTCTTAACTAGTGATTGATGGGGGGAGCTAGCCCACTGTGGGTGGTACCATTCCTTAGCCAGTGAGTGGTCTGAGGGTCTATAAGAAAGCAGGATGAGCAAGCCAAGAGGAGCAAGCCAATAAACAGCATCCCCTCCATGGCCTCTGCATTAGCGCCTGCTGCAATTCCTGTCCTGACTTCATTCAGTGATTAACAGCACTACAGAAGTGTACACCAAATAAACCCTTTCTTCTCCAACTTGCTTTTTGATCATAGTGTTTCATCACATCAATGTTTCTAACTAAGAAGTTTAGACATCACAAAATGAAGTGTCTAAGGAAAAAATGCCATTTAGAATGCAGTTGCCCTACGTTTTACACCTGGGTGGTCCACTTCTTCCTATTTTTAATTTTTAACTAGTTAATTAATTTTCCATTTTCATATGAGCCGTTATTCTGACTCGTTTTAATCTATATACTTATCCTGTCTCTACTCACTTTTAAATGATTTCTCAGATATCCATGCCCCACATCTGGGTGCCACTTGAACCAAACTTGCAGGAATGAGAGCCTCAAATGGCAAGGTGTCAAGTGTGAGGACCAGGGATGAGAGGCAGAAAAATGGGAGCTAAGTAAGACAAGGGTGGTGGTTGATGCCTTATGCCAATCAAGTTCATTAAGATGCACAACATCTTATAGACTATTTGCCCCATAAAAACAGCAAAGGTTGGCAGAGAGCTAAGTCAGACCACATTAGAGCAAAAGAACAAAGGATACTGCAGACTGTACTCACGCTAGCACTGATAACCACAGCAAAGAGGGAAGAGCTCAATCCTCAGAGACTGCAACCTCAACTCCCCTGAGGCACTGGCTCCAGTGTCAGACAGACCAGCCTTGCCAATCCTCTCCTGGACAAGGAAACATAATCAAAGTTCCCTTTGTCCTTCCATCAGGGCATCTGAGAAAGTCTTGTATCAGTCCTGGCTCCTCACACTATTATAGTAGCCATGTCTCTCTCCCACTATGGCGATGAAGGGGACTTAGGGCAAGTGACGGGACCAAGTGAAGGGGCAGTGTGGAGGAAGGGTGTGCACAGGAGAATACAGGCACATGTAGGCAGGAAGGCAGGAAGAAGTTAAGGGGCAGCCAAATTATTTGGAGGGGCCTCCCACAGTCCATGTTCTGCTAGATTTTAGTTAAGATTGCTTATCTATTTGGAAGATTAAACCAATCAACATCAGAAACCAGTGACGCCCAGTTTAGTTTTCTCAGTGGCAAATTTTTACGGTTTTATTTGGTTGTCTCTGATGGTTTCTCACTCTGTGGGAACTCTAGACCCTGTCATCTTCCTGCTTCAGCCACTCAAGTGCACGTGCCAACACCCATAAGTACAAGTTCATTTCTCTTGCATTTGTTAATGTATTTTTATGTGCATAGATATATTGTGTACACATGACTGTGCAACTCCTGTATGCAGTGCCCTCAGATACCAGAAGAGGGTGTCAGATTTCCTTGAGCTGGTGTTATAGGTGGTTGTGAACCACCATGTGAGTGCTGGGAATCCAATACCTTTTCTCTTCTAGAGCAGCTGGTGTTCTTAACCACTAAGCTATCTCTCCAGCCCTTAGATTAATTCCTTAAATACTTGAGAGACCTTGACAATTTTTTCATAATTCCTCTTTCAGTTCAATGATTTTCTATTTTTTTGTTCTCTTTACCTATTTAATTGTTTTGTTACATTTTTTTTGTTTATTTATTTGGGAGCACAGTTCATGCTCTTCATATCCACCTATGATACACTGAGGCAGGGAATATCCTGGTTTAAACCTCTCAAGGCAGAGCTGACTATGGGAACCCATGAACTTGTCTCCCCAGGGCTCCACACTCTTCACTATGATCTCACGGTCATTTCTGAGGAGGGCTCTGGGATGATCCAGATCATCGCTAATGCATACTTTGATGACAAGCTCTTCCTGCGCTACAAGGGGGACAGCAGGTGTGCAGAGGCTTTAAGGCCCAGGACCAAGGGACACGCTGGAGCTGAGACCTGGGCAAGAGAGACTGAGGGCCTGTGGAAGGAGGAGCAACTGGGAGAGATGCTGGCTGAGGTCACAAGACAGATAGGCCAAGACAGGGGTAAGTGGACAGAGTTCATACAGATTCAGCCCTGGCTCCTGGAGTCAGGGTGTGGGCAGGGTGTGGCTAAGCTGATGAGCCAACCAGTCCCTTTCCTAAGTAACACAGGAACCCCATATTTTGGTGGGTCACAGGATGCACCCTACATGCCCTGAACCCCATTGGGAGCTGAGTTCCAGGAACGAGAAGGTGACAGGTCCCTTCCTGATGTGGACCAGGCCCTCACACCATCCAGGTGACCTTTGGCTGTGAGCTTCAGGGAAACGGGAGTACTGGAGGCTTTTGGTACCTGGGCTATGATGGGCAGGACTCCCTCACCTTTGACCAGAAGACTTCCACTTGGAAAATGGCCGTGCCCTCCACCCAGCAGACCAAGACCTTCTGGGAGATATGTGCACCCAGAGCTGCTCAAGTTAAGACTTTCTTGGAGGACACATGTCCTGCTCATCTCCAGAGACATCTAGCTTCCTTGAAGAACTTTCTGCTGGATTCAGGTACTGACCATCATCAGGGTTGTTTCCCAGGACCCAGGGGAACAATCATGGGGCCAAGTGGCTCTTTTCCATGGTACTTCTGGGAGTCTGGGTTCTCACTGGTGTGTACAATCATGGCATAGTCTAAGGTGGTGTCTGGAAGTTTGAGGTGTAGGGTCTCCTCCAGAGCCATTGCTGGGTTGCTCAGACAGAAAAGGAGGGTTTCCCAGATGTTGCCTGGATCTCACACAAAGCAGTTACATGCAGAAGAAACAGGCTTCCTCTTTCCAATAGCTTCCTTCTCTGGTGGGGAGGTTGACATGAAGGAGGGTAGAGAACTAGATGGGAATGGCTGAGTTCAGAGCCACCCCTTATGGGGAGTTAAAATAGAAGAGGATCTGAACCATGGTCTGTGCTGCAGATTCTAATACAAGCTTCCCATATCCTGTGGCCTGATAAAGGTCCTTTCTCTGCTCTTTAGCTCTTACTTTTAGAAAGGTAACATGGTGGTTTAGAATAATTGTAAGTCCAATTTAGGGGATCCAATGCTCTCTGCTCAGTTTTCAGGTCACTAGATGTGTGCATGGTACACATACATTCCTGCAGGCAAAACATTCGTATACATGAAGTAAATGCACCTAAAATATTTAAAAGATCAAGTTTTTAAAGACAGAGTCTCATGATATCCTTTACTCCTACATACCTACTTCCTGCCTCTACCTGTCTAGTGCTATGACTATGATACATATCACCCACTCTGGTACCTGAAATGTGAGGATTATAGCTTTGACTATGCCAGGCAGTGGTGGCACATGCTTTTAATACCAGCACTCGGGAGGCAGAGGCAGGCAGATCTCTGTGAGTTCCAGGCCGGGCTGGACTGACGACCTGAAAAACAATACAGAGAAACCCTATTTCGTAAAACCAAAAAAAAAAAAAACTTTGGCTATGTATTGAGGGAAAATAAGAGTGTATCCTGGGACATCTGTGGAAGAAGGAAGACAGGAAGAAGACACTGATCACCAGTGTTGTCTTGGGCCAGCTGCAGAACCCAAGAATGAGGATATCAGTCAGCTGACTGTATTTAGAGAGTCCCTCCCTAGAGATTGGGGAGCTGGCTCTGTCACAGAAAAGTGGTGAATCCCACCAAGGTTTGATTTGTAGGGCCCTTAACACTGAGACACTGGCTTCTTGGTGCCTGTTCATCTAAGCCCTGTGTTAGAAAAAGGAACTGCTGAATCTTGACAATAGGGACACCATAGATTCTCATCATCTGAGTGTAAGAGAGGGATGAACCCTAAAGAGCATCATTGGAGCTGAGCCTCAGCCTCCCACGGTCCTCTGAGATGAGGGTGGAGGCGAATATGAACTTCTGGGAGACACTCCATGCTGAGATTGAGAGGCACTCACCCTCACTGACTCACTTCATCTTCTCTCAGGGCCCCCAAAGGTGAAAGTGACCAGCAGGAGGTACCCAGTGGGCAGGATCACCCTGACATGCTGGGCTTTTAATCTGTATCCTCCTGTGGCTACCCTGGTATGGCTTCAGCATGGGAAGCCAGTACAGCAGCAGATATTTGGACCTCGAACCATCCTGCCCAGCGGTGACCAGACCTACCAGACCTGGGTGTCTATTTGGGTTCTTCCTGGACAGGAGCCAGAGTTCACTTGCCGCCTGATGCACCACAGCAAAATCATTGAGGCCCCTGCTTTCCTTGGTGAGAAAACGTGACAGCCATCCACAACAGGGTGTGGGAGGCAAAGTGAGGGAGAGCCTGTGGATCACAATCACTAAAGCTTTCTTGGTGCCCTCCAGGACATCAAGCCAGGAAAACTGGAGGCGCCACCAGCTCTGCCTCAGCTCTGGTGGCTTCTGCTCTTTGTACCATGTTGGCGTTTCTACCAATTGCCTAGAGCAGCAAGAATGAGCAATACAGCAAGAGACAAGGTGAGCATCCCTGCAGGGTGGGGGATTGGGTAACAAGAGTGGTGAGCATCCCTGCAGGGTGTGGGCTTGGGTAACAAGAGTGGTGAACATCCCTGCAGGCAGGGTGTGGGATTGGGTAACAAGAGTGGTTCCAGGACTTTTCTTCTCTTTATAAATTATACAGCTAGTACCATAGACGCATAAACACCATTTGGCCCCACTAGTTAATGGAGGGTCCCAAGGAGCCACCATTCAGAACCTGTGGACCTGCCCTGTTGTTGGAAGGCACTGGCCATTGTTGGATGTATGGTGCTGCCTCCCACATGCTCTTATATATATTATGAAACTCAGGGATAGGACAGCAGGCTGGATACCACAGTAAAGTCAATATTGTAGCAAACTACACGTCCCTCTCTCCACCAAATACATAGAAAGCAAACAGCCAAACAATACACAGAGAGTCCTGGTAGCCCAGAAGATGCTTCAGCATCATTTCTACCAGATGTTGTTATCCAATTATCATCTTGAGTCATCAAGCATGGAAACTTCTCCACAAAGGTATTCATGAAATATCTGCATGAGATTATATATATATAATATATATGTATAACATATATTATATATATATTCAAATGATTTTGAAAATATTTTAATTTCCATGCTCTATTTAAGTCCATATTAACAATTAATTTTTTAATTTATAAACTGTTGGCCAATATCTAGGGCTTCTTATTTACTAGCTCTATTAATCTATGTATTTCCACATGGCCTTGGCTTACTGGAGAATGCCAGACCTGTTACTCCTTTGACAACTACTTGTCTTCTCTTTGCACACCCTCTCTACCTACCTTTCCCAGAATTCTCCTTGTATCCTATCCCCACCTATCTTCCTGCCTTGATTGGCCAAACTGTTTTATTCATCAATCAGTAAGAGAAACATATATACAGAAGGACATCCCCCATCAACAAGCAAACATATTGCATATTGGACTACAGGAACATGAAAAAGTAAGATAAAGTGACTCCTCCAAGAGAATATAACTCTTCAACAACAAAATTCAATGGCAATGAAACATAATTTCAAAAGTTTACTAGTAAAAAACTCCAATGACATCAAAAAAGATGTAAACAAGTAGATGAACTAAATCCAAGACCTAGAGAGGAAAGTCAGCCACGCAGAAGGAGGTGAAATTCACCAGTATGAATGAAAAAGAGTTAGTAAATTGAAAGGAAAAACAAGCAAAGAAATTGAAATTTGAAATTAAACATATATAAAAATTAGAAATTAAGAACTCTATATAGCCAATAAAAACCACAGTAGAAGCTGGGTGGTGGTAGGGTAGTGCATGCCTTTAATTTCAGCATCAATGAGGCAGAGGCATGTAGATCTCTATCAGTGTAAGGCCAACCTGGTCTACAGAGTGAGTTTCAGGAAAGCAAACATTATACAGGTAAACCCTGTCTCAAACTCTCAACCCCTCCCCACAGACTTTAATCAAGCAAATATCAACAATGAAAGGTAAAGAATCTACTCCATTCAAACACAAATAAGGAAAACAGCTGATCATGACCACATACAAAATAAATATAATCAATAAATAAGCTTATGAATTGAATAGTTAATTTCCAAAGGTAGAAATAAAAATGGCCGATAAATATTTGGAAAAAAGTTCCAAAATGTTTAACTAAATTTAGAATACATCATGATATAGAATTTGCTTTTTACTCAAAATCAACCTTCTCAGAACTATCAAGAATAATGATCACCAGATATCTGACTACTGAAGCCTAGCCAAATTTCTACATAAAATGAGCCATCATAGGTGGATTTATATTTAAGACATGAGATAGAGTTTTTGTGAATGATAACAAAGAACTCAGCCAATACTCCAATTAACATATCGCACTGAATAGCAATATGATTGATCTTAAGTCAGATTACCTATATACTGTAATTCTCCTCGATGTAAATGGAAGACCTCAATGTCCCTACTAGTTTGTGCATATGATCAGTACACACAAAACCTAATGGTAAAATGGAGTATTCACGACTCTTCTAAGATTTGAAAGAATTGTTGTTCTGAATTGTTCTGAAAGGAGAATTGGTGTTCAAGCTGTTTAACAATCTAGGAAAGTAAAACTACCACAGAGTGTGTTGAGCCTTCTCTCCAAAGGAGGGTCTAGTCTAGTCACTGGCCTCTTGAGTGATAGAGGGAAAGTGCCAGATTTAGAGAAAGGCTAATATATTAAAGAGGAGAAAGGCAAGCTATGTTTCTAGAAAGTCTGTGAGTGCAGACTGTGATCTGTTAGGACAGTGGCTTTCATCCTTCCTCGTACTGTAACCCTTTGATAATACAGTCCCTCATGTTGTGGTGAATACCAACCATAAAATTCAGAGCCATCATTTTGTTACTGTAACGAATGATAATGTAAATATCTGATACACAGGCTATCTGACAATGTGACCCTCCAAAGCAGTCGTGACCCACAGGTAGAAAACACTGTTTTGGGAAATCACTTACTGAATCTGGTATTTGTACAGCCTAGTGAACTTTTTAAAAAATCAAACTTTTTCATTTTTACAACTTTCATGTTCCGAGCAATGAAAATCTGATTTTGTTGTTAAAGGGACAATTCAACAGGATCATGGCACTAGAAATGTATGTAAAAACAATAGCTCACTGTATTCATTTTAGTCCAGTTTCAAGCAAGTCCATAGTGATGTGGATTGCTAATTTCCAATGGCTCCCACGTTGTCAAACTGATTGCTTTCTTCCCTGGAGTTTCACCATTTGCCTTTGTTATTTGGGATTAAAGTACTATTTAACAATTACTTTTTTAATATCCATACCATGACTTCTACCCTATCTTCTTTTTTTTCAGTTTTTATGAGACAGAGTTCCTCTGTATTGTTTTGGAGGCTGTCGGTCTAGCCCAGCCTCGAACTCACAGAGATCTGCCTGCCTCTGCCTCCTGAGTGCTGGTATTAAAGGTGTGCACCACCACCGCCCGGCTTCTGCCCTATCTTCTAAGTTAATATACTATCATCTTACCTCCAGCCTTGCCAGCTAAATAATCACAACAAAATACATTAAATGTTAGTATTCCTTCACAAAAAAGGCATGCAGTGATGGTAAATGTCCTTCTATTTGCTATGAATATATGTTTCTCTTACTGGTTAATGAAGAAAACAATGCTTGATCTGTAACCAGGCGGGATATATAGACAGGGATATGAGATGAGGAGAATTCTGGGGAGAAGGATGCAGACAGAGGTCTCAAGAGAGATGCCAAGTAGCAGTTGAAGGAGTAATATGCTGGAGCCTTCTCTGTTAAGATAAGGTCATGTGGAAATACATAGATTAATAGATAGGGGTTAGTAATTAAGAGAGAACTAGACAATAAGACGCATGTACCATCAACCAACAGTTTATAGTTAATATAAGACTCTGTGTACTTATTTGAGACTAAGTGGCAGAGGGATGATGTAAACTCTGTCTACAAATGGTGCCCACATGTAAGGCAACAATTTCCATATAAACCTGAGAAAAGCTAAGAAAAGGGATTCTAAATACAAAAGAACAGAGGCAACCTCAGCTTCTTCGTAGCTGCATTTTCTCGGGGGTGGGAGGGCTCTATTTGCTAGAGGCAAAGCTAAGCTCATGTTGCTTTCAAAACAAGATTCTGATTTTGTTTCTACAGAAGATAAATAACTGTGGATCCCTTCCAGAACAACAACAACAACATAATAATAATAATAACAACAATAATAATAATAATATCAACCAAGACTCCCTGAGTAAATGGACCAGGGGATCCAACATCCAAAACAGCTGAGATGATGCAGCCTCAGACTACTACAGCTAGAATTTAGACAGGTTTCTGGTTTTTCTCAGGATCCCCTTGGGATTGACAGCACCCCCAAACAGCAGGAATCACTTTAGAGAGAACGGCACCCAAATTCCAAAATACAGTTTATATATTTTTGTTTTCATTAAAAAATGGTTGGATATAAGTGGTTAATGATCATAGTCAATCTTTTCCTAAAGAAAAAAGGCAATATAATACAGAAATATACTTTACATTGGTATGGATTTTGGTTTGTTGATACAAATTGTTATATGTATATGTCCACTCTTGTTTAGGTATTCTGTTTATACAGTTCCTTTAAAATGTAATTTAAAAAATACAGATTACAGATAATTGCCTGGAACAGTCACAACATATAGTTAGAGAGAGCTGGTCAATAAGAAGCCTGAGCCAATAGCCAAGCAGTTTATAATTAGTAAAACCCTCTGTTTATGTCTTTGGAAATAAGGGTGGCAGGATAAGGCAGGAGAGAAACCCCAGAACAGGGTCTCCCAAACAATTTTGTTTTAAAAATAAAAAAGCAAGATCTATGGATTGCTTTAAAAAATAAAGACCTTATAAAGATAAGGAGATATGGTATTAAAATAATGAAATATTATAAACAGATAAGGATTATTTTAACAAAAATTCATGTATAAAGATTAAATGGGATGAATGGCTACAGAAGGAAAACTAAAGGGCTTCTATGAGTTACAAACATCTGAGTAAGTGCTTAATGTATTTAAGAATGGAGCCTAAAATAATATGTGGTATTACTTTCTGAGTACAAGATTAACAATGAAGAAATAACTGGCTGCAGTGTATGTCATATCAAGGTGGGGGTGGGTGTTCAGGTGAAAGTCATTTCAGGGTCAGATGGAAACCTGGTGCAAGGGAAACTCCCAGGAACCCACCACGATGACCTCGGCTAAGACTCCTAGTACTTGTTGATACATAGAATTGGCTACTTCATGTGACCAAGTAACACTTCCAGTGGACCCTAACTCAGCCATACAACCTTCAAAACACTGTCCTGACAATGGGGTGTGCTGGGGAAAGGGTGGCATAGAGACTGTAGTGGTGGCCAACCAATGACTAGTCTACCCTCATATCCATGCCAAGAGAGTGGACCCATTTCTAAAACTACCTAGAGTGCTAGGACCCAGAGACTGGATGACCCACAGACCTAGGATAAAACCAAACACGATCATAGGGAAAAAACCTCAGTTTAATAATGCCTAGCAATATTCTGTTATCCTCATAGCAGAATGGGTGCCTAGCCCTATTATCTTCAGAGGGTCTTCATTCAGCAACTGGTGGAAACAGATGCAGAGACCCACAGTTCCACATTAGGCAGAGCTCAGGGAATCCTGCTGAAGAGAGGGAGGAAGGGTTGTAATAAACACAGGGACATCACAACAAAGCCCACAGAACCAACTCACCTGGGCTCATAGGAGGCAGAGACAACCAGGAAGCCTGCATGGGACTGACCCAGGCCCTCTGCATATGTGTTACTGTTGTGTAGATGGTCTTATTGTGGGACTCCGAATAGTAAGAGCAAGGAATGTCTCTAACCCTTTGGCTGACTTTTAGAAACCTGCTCCTCTTACTGGGTTGCCTTGCCTAGCCTTAATGGAAGATGAAGTGCTTTGTCTCGCTACAACTTGATATACCATGTTTTGTTGTTACACGTGGGAGGCCTGACCTTCTATGAATAAACATGGAGGAGGAGTGGATCTGTGAGGGGGACAAAGGGGGATTGGTGGAGACACCGGGAGGAGAGGAGAGAGAAGATATTGTGGTCATAATGTATGCAAAATTGACTAATTTTGAAGAATGATTGCAATGTATCAAATCAAGGTTTATTTTTAAATATCTTCCTTTTAAAATATTACATGATATTTATAAGTGTCAGACTGAGGTAACTGGTCTCCTTCAGTGGTTCTCAACCTGTGGGTCATGATTCCTGTGGGGATCACATATAAGATATCCTGCAGAACAGATATTTACATGATGATTCATAACATTAGCCCAATTACAGTCATGAAGTAGCAACAAAATAATTTTATGGCTTGGTTTCACTACAACATGAAGAACTATATTAAAGTGTTGCAGGATTAAGAAGGTTGAGAAACACTGTTCTAGATGTTTCCAATATGGTGAATGCAATGCAGTCTCTAACTATACTAGGATATCATTCACCATTCCTCTTTATTATTGTTTGGTCAGTATGGATGTGTCCCACCACTTCAAATGACCTGGTAGATCTATGACTTTCAGATCTCATAAGGTTTGAACATACAGTTTTTCAGACATTATCAATTCATTCATCATTTGAGTTTCCCTTTCTTTGATTATCCATAAATTACACCATTGTGTGAACATTTCCCAATACACAGTGAGAATCAGGTATCATGATTTCAGAGTGGAATTCCCCCTTGGGTGTTTTGCTCCAGGGCACTAAGAGCTCTGTGCCTCTGAGTGGACAACCTGGGGTACTGGTAATCTCATCTGGAAGATGCCTACAGGGTCTGGATGAAGAAAAAATTTTAGGACCACCATATTGCCCACATCCTCTTTTATTGTCTCCTGGGGAAAGTTCCAGCTAGACCTTTGGCTGTTATCCACACTCTCAGGCAGTGTGAGGGCTGAAGGGCCACACGGAAAAAATGAGCAATTGTGACATGGACAACATTTTTTGTTTGTAATCATTGCCTGTGTTAACCCTTCATGTATGTTACTGACTGGGATTTCAGAGGGGCATCATTTAAAGTGTGGGGAAGTCTTTAAAATGACCTGTATCATTTGTATCTCCTTATTTGTGTGAACTCAGTCTGCTCACAAAAGTCTCTCTTGCTTCCACAGCCTTTTGTATGGCTCCTGTGCAATCATGTGAATTTGGACAATGGATCTGGGAATAACATCAGTCTCTTTCTAGGAAAAAGGAAGTTTATACATCTTATGTTAACTAGCATTTTTGCAGTAGTCACTTCTATAGCCCCTGCAGCTGCTTCCACAGTGGCCATGGCCCAACAAGAGCAAATTGCCATTTTGTTAATCAGCTTGCTTTAATACTTTTTTTTGGTTTTACGAGACAGGGTTTCTCTGTATTGTTTTGGAGGCTGTTGGTCCAGCCTGGCCTCGAACTCACAGAGATCCGCCTGTCTCTGCCTCCCGAGTGCTGGGATTAAAGGCGTGCGCCACCACCGCCCGGCTTGCTTTAATACTTTTGTGGCTTTGGAAACACAACAATATATAGACACAAACGATGAAACTCCCTTACATACTTTAGAAGCTGTGGTGTTGTACCTAGGGGATACAGTATCAATTAACCCTAAATGTGCTGCTGGTGTTAGCTCTTTAAGCTATAATGAATCCAGACAAAATATGAATAAAATTAAAAATTTCTTGCTCTCAAAGTGTCGTGTGTTGGGGTCCCTGGGCAAGGTCTCACCGAAATCAGGACACAGGGGATGCAGAGTAGAAGCAACTGCTTGTCAATGTTTATTTTTGCAGAACTTTTGCACATAAGCTTATGCAAGCTATCTCACAATCTTCACACCCACCATTCCACACAAGGCATCAGGATAGGTCTCCCCTTATGAAACAATCTCTACTATATTTAAAGTACTGTATACTAACAAGTACTTCCCTATATTTATAGAACAGTGGAGCACAGTTCACTGACCTGAGAGCCACTTCCTTATCTTGAGCAGCAAAATCCGGCAGATCATTTGAACATGTCAGCAGAAGTATGCTTCCAGCTATTCCTGGTGTGCCAAGTCTCATGCTTCAAAATAGGCCATATTTGTTTCAAGAGGAGCCTGCACCTCACTAAGCCAGCTCTTCATGTTCATAAGTTACTGGGAATATGGTATCATAAAAATATTAATTTAGATTAACACTCAAGCCATTAATTACTATTCTAAGTGATTGGCATGTCATATTCAGTTCCCCTAAGATGTTGACCCAAAGCTTATTGCAGAACACACAAGGATGTGACCATTTTAACATCCTTTAACGTGTGTTCAGCATTACTCTTCAACTATTTATGCTGGTGATTCCTTTGAAAATATTAGGGGGTATTTGTTGGTGTAAGGGATATCAATGTCTCTTAGACATTCAAATGCAAGTTAGTCATCTAACCTTACAAGGTAACAATGAGGGAGCCAGAGAGACCTCTCCCCAACACATAGAGTGTTTTTATTCAGAGGTTTCTTACAGAATCTCCATTTGCAGTGTAGAGTTCCTTAGAAGACTGAAGGCAGGGGATAATGAATTCACTAGACCCAAGATAAATGATAAATGTGTGTTTTACTGGGGAACAACTTACACAGACAATAACAAAGAACCACAGGAGCCTTCCTGCTTAAGAAGATGCAATCTAACTCCTCCAGATCTGATCTGTGACCCAAGACTGACAGAGTCCACCCTGCTCCTGTTTGTCCAACTTCTGGTCACGTCCGCACATGAAGCCATGCCCAAAGGGGTGTGGCCGTGACACTAAATCCCTGATAAGACCAGAGGCCACTACAGAAGACAAGGATTTCCGGCTCCCTTGGTTGGTGGAGAATCTAAGAGTTTTAGATTCTGGTCTAAAATGACAAGAGAGGATTACTTCCTGTAGAGTTGCATCACGCTTTTCATATGGAACAGGAGAGGATTTTCCTGGGCATATCAAGCTCTTTTTTCAACATAATCGGAAAAGGCCATTGGAAGAGTCATTGTTGTGGACTGCCACAATCCTGGCACACCTGTTCTACCTGTTACTGCTTTGGGTATCCTGTAAAGGTAAGCCCTTGACAGAGAAGGGAACTCAGTCTGTGCCTGTGCTGTGGGGTGCAGTGGGAGTAAGCCAGAGCCTGGTGTGTGTGGAACGCAAGAGTCTGGTGGGATCCCTGAACTTCATCTGAGAGTCATGAGGAGGATTTTTAGTGTGTAAGGGACACTGTATGACTTTGGGGGAGGTTTCTTTGTCCCAGAAGTCTGCCTTCAGTCTTCTAAGGAACTCTACACTGCAAATGGAGATGCAGTGTGGTCTTAGGCTCCTTGGGACTTGTTCTGCTCAAGATAACTCGGGCTAAATACTGGGTTCTTGGCAGCCCGTAGACGTCCCTGCTTTCCTGCTGCAACTAACTTAGTGTGCTTCAGGGCATGGTGTGGTTCCAGTAAATCCTGGATCAGCTGCAAAAGTAGGATGAAGATTTTGAATGGCCCTTACCTTACAGAAAAATAGAGAGAGTGGTTAGTGACAATAGGACTTTTTGTAAAGTGATTATTTTGTGTGGTGTGTATAGGGGGTCTCTGTTACTCTCTGTGGAGGTGTAGACATGCTCTTGAGGTGATAATGATGGTAAAGGCATGTAATAAAACAGGTAATAAGGGAGGGAAGTTGAAGTAGTGTCCCTCACACCATGGAGATAGAGAGGAGCCATGTTGCGTGCAGGAACCAAGTGAAGCAGGATTGGGGGATGGATTGCAGAAGGGAAGTATCTGGACAAATGTGGGCAGGAAGTCAGTAGACTCAAGTACATTGTCTCAAGATTACTCTTGGTTTACCAACCACATTGTGGTATTCCCCAAACTCCATTGTCCATATTCTGCTACAGTTTGAATATGAATATTGGCACTCATTTGTTGTTTTTTCCCAATTTAATTTATTATTGATTCATGTATCTTGAGCCCACTCATCTCCCTATCCCTTCCCTTCTGCCCTCTAGCCTTGCAATATCCCCTCCCAGATAAAACAAAATAGAACTTAAAAGAAAAGAAAACAAAAATTTCATCAGGGTGACACAGTGATTCACACAGTCCAGTTATTCATTGCAATGAGTCACTGATCTGGTTTCAACAACTCTTGTTTTTACTACATCATGGATACTGGATCCACAGTGGGGCTGCTCTTGGATATCCTGTTTCTGTCCTGCCATGAAGATCCAGGAGCAGATCATAAAGGGGTGGATGACGGGAAGGGCCAACTCACAGCCCTGGTTCTGGGCCTGGGCATTTTCTGGGTTGGTTAGTTGGCCAGATCATCCTCATCCTGGACACCTGGGTGACCTCTCCAAGCCTGACTGGTGAGCTCACCTTATGTAGTAGTCATAAAGAGGCTGGATCAGTTATCCATCTCTCATGTCCTCCAAGATGGATCACAATACCAACACTACCAGCTCCAGTTCCATTGTATTGTCAGGCAATGTGTAGGTACTGCTCTTCCAATTTCTGAAGTCATTGAGAGGCATGACCTGTTCTTTCACTATCATGACCCAGGACCACCTCTTTCACCTGCTGTAGGCAGAGAGATGAGGAGTAACAGGAGGCACATCTCTCCTATTCTCACTGCTCCATGGCAGGCGAGTATTAGGGCCAGCTCACCAATACTCGTGCCCTCAGAGGTGGCTGACCTGTGTCCCCACCAGCAGGGACAGCTCTACTGTGTTACCCAGGCCAGGTGCAGGGCCTGATCTCCCATTGCTGCACTCAGAGAGATGTCTCTCATTCATACTCCATTATATTTGGTTATCATAATACAACTCATCCCCCCAGATCTGACACAAATCATATCCTGAGTCCTAACTTTCAGATACTATACGTTTCTTCAGTGAATTCCCTTTTCATATTCACATCTAGATTTTTCACTATGGTAGTGGGGACCAGATGCACAGCCCCACAAATGCTTTCACACTTAGCTCCATCTCCTTATTTCTTTGCGACAATACTCCAGTAAAATTCTTTGTCCTTTCATACATTTCATATATTTTCTTAATATATACACTTGATTTTTTCAGGAGATTTTCTGCAACCATGAAAATGACCCTGTGATTTTTTTGTCTTTAAGCCCATTACTAGGCTTTATAACATGCATTACCTTACATGTGATAAACCATTCCTGCATCTCTGTGGTGAAGCCAACTTGATCATTACGGAGGATGTTCTTGATATATGCCTTCTGGACATTTGGTTTTCAAATCTTTTATTGAGGAGTTTTCATCTGTATTCATTTAGTGATATATGTTTTTATATGGGATTTTGCTGTCTTTACCTGGTTTAGGAGTAGGAGTGATGCTGGCAAGACCGAGTTTGAGAATATTCCTTATGTTTCAATTTTTAAAAAATAACTTAAGAAGAATTGCTGCAGATATTTAAAACTCTGGTAAAATTCTTCAGTGAATGCATGTGTCCTTGAGCTGTTTTATTGTATGTGTGTGTTTCTTTGTTCATTTACTTTTGTCAAAATTATTTTCATTAATATTTCAGTCTCCTCTTCATTGTGATTCTGTATAGGCTCTTGATTACTTCATGGTTTAACTTTAGTAATTTTAATGGCTTGAAGGTTATAGAAATATATTCCTTTATTTTTTTAGATTTTCCAACATCATGGAGTACAAGGTTTGGAACAGCCTATATTTTGAATCACATAGCATAACCTTTTGTCTATTCAACTTTATTAGCAAATGTTTCTTGCAAAAGGTCATTGATATGATTCAAGGTATCTGGTTGCTAGTACACCAGCATTACTAGAACATCAATTAAACACCTCTGGAATGTCATGCAGCAGCCCTGAGTCATGGAGTGTGGGTATTGGACCACAGGGCAATTCCTTTCACAAGCTCCAGCAGGTCCTAGTCAGGGTAGATTTTAGGGTGGGGCAACCCAAACCCATCTGTGGTCCTGAGTGGTAGCTGAGCAGGTCAGACTGGACCACTGGGACTGTCTGCCTCAGGTAAAGGGGAGGAGCCAGCTCTCATATGCCTGTGCTTGCAGTGTCATTTCTCCCTCAACTGTGGTGAGGGGTGGGGGCATTTCTCCTAAGTATAAGACCAGGTTTCTCAGGGGGACCAGGGCCAGCTCTACTGCTTCAGTTTCCAACAAGGGGCAAGGCCAGTGTTTGCAGGCCAAGCCAAGGATGGTGCTGGCTCAGCATGGCCCTTTGACTTCATCTTGCATGGTTTCTATGGGCATCTGAGTTGACACAACCACAGACACTAACACAGACACCAGCTGCTGCTGGGTCCAGACATGATCCTCAGCAGCAGCCAGGTTTGGATGTCACCACTGCCCCAGGTGGCAGTGCAAACCTTAGAGACTGACTCTGCTCCAGCAAGGGTGTGGCTCTCAGATGCTAACATGAACCCATACCTCAGTCATCAACTTGGCCTTCCATAGTAACAGGAGTCTTAGATATCAACACAGACCATGGCTACAGTGGGACCACAGACCTACATATAGCTCTCTGCTGCAGTTCTGACCCAGAAATCATCATGGTATCTGGTACCAGCCCAGGCCACTCAGATCTGTTTGGCACAGGACACAACTAGAATGCATCTTGGGCACGAACATGGTCCTAGGTGACTGATCAGACTCTAGGCAGCCACACAGCATTTGGTTAAAACAGGAGCCATAGACATTGATCCAAACTGTGGCTGTTGTAGGATCCATAGACACACACATGACCATGAGCAACATCCCAGTCCCAGATGATACCAGGGCCTTGGCTGGCAGCATGGGACACCCACACCAGCATGACTCTGGTGTTGCCAAGGCCCTCAGATACCAAAAAGCCATTTTATCCATCTCTACTGTAATCCCTCTCTGTCTCTCTGTCTCTCTGTCTCTGTCTCTGTCTGTCTGTCTGTCTCTCTCTTACACCCACTCTATTACTCTCTTCCCTTCTTTTTCTATTCCATTCTATAACAAAACACTCCACTGGCTCCTCACATTTACACAGCAGCACAAAACAGTCTGAGTTTAATTCCTCAAGGAGAACTAATTGTGAAAAACATTTACTAATCAATTGTGTCACCTTTCTCTTCCTCCTTCAGGAACCCATATTCTGCACTATGACCTCACAGCCTTGTTTTGGGAGAGGCCTGGGCAGTTGCTTGCCATGGTATACCTTGACAATGAGCCCATCCTGCACTATGCTGAGAGAAGAGCAGAACCCCGGAAACATGGGGTAAAGGAACATGACTGTGCTTTGATATGGACAAGAGAGACTGAGGACTTCCAGGAGAAGGAGGAGCAGCTCAGTGGGATGCTGGCTGAGGTGATGACACAGAAGGGCCAGAATGGAGGTGAGTACGCTAGCAGAAACAGAAGCATGCAGTTCAACTCTAGTCAGGGTTGGGGGCTGGACACATCTGGGCTAATTGTGTAAGTGTAGGATGCTTCTTTGAGGGAAGTGGGGCATGCCACCTGAGAAGGCACAGAGTGTGCCCAGCTCACCTTAAGATCAGCAGGAACTAAGTTTCTTGAAAAGAAGTTGACATATCTTTGCCTGGTTTGCCAGGTGTTCATACCCTTCAGGCAACTTTTGGCTGTGAAATCCAAGGAAACCACACTGGAGGCTTTTGGCGCATAGGCTATGATGGGCAAGACTTCCTGTCTTTTGATCAGAAGAACTCCAAATGGCAAGTTCCAGTGCTTTTAGCACACTCAACCAAGACATTGTTGGCGATACATAGCCCCAGTGTGGATCAAGTTAAGACATTTCTAGATGACATATGTCCTTACCATCTCTGGAGATATTTGACTTGCATGAAGAATCAAATCATGGATACAGGTACTAACTTTTAGAAGGTGGGTTTATTCACTGAGTATGACTGCTTAAGAGTTGTTGGGTTCTCAATAAATTAAACAAGCATCACACTCTCACCCTCACAGTGCTCTGATTTGTCTTTTCCCAGGTCTCCAAAAGGTGACTGTGACTCAACATAGTTCCACAGTGGGGTGGCACACTCTAACTGGCTTTGTTTTCCATCTCTATCGCTGCTATCCCACTCCTGAGTTGAGGCTTGTGAGACTTCTCAGTGGATAATATCACTGGTTGCTCTTGCAGAGGATCCAGGCTGAATTCTGAGAGTGCACATTATGACTTATAATCATGTGTAACTCCAGTTCTAGGGCACTCGTGCACTTTACTGACCATTGTAGACACCCCATATACACATGGTACATGTACATTCATACAGGCAAAACACTCTCATATCTTAAATAGAGTAAACAAATCTAAAAAATTAAAAATGGCTGGGCCTTGGTGGTGCCCCCTTTAATCCCAGCACTTGGGAAGCAGAGGCAGGTGGATCTCTGTGAGTTCGAGGCTAGCCTGGTCTACAGAGCAAGTTCCAGGACAGCCTCCAAAACAATACAGAGAAACACTGTCTCTAAAAACCAAAAAAATATTTAAAAAGTCAAGTTTTCTGTTTTTATTTGGCCTTGTCCTTTTTAAACAGAGTCTCACACTGCCCCTCATGTCCACTCACACACTTCTTGCCTCTGCCTTTCCAGTGTTATGATAATGGACATCTCTGGTACCTGAAGTGTGAGGTTAAAGCTTTGACTCTGTCTTGTGACTGAAAATAAGAAGGTATCCTGGGACATCTGTGGAGGAAGAAAGATACTGGTCATCAGTTTGGGGACAACTCCAGGAAAAAAAGAATCAAGGCTACAGTCAGGCAACTACTTTTAGAGTCCCTCACTTGTCCCCTAGAGGTTGTGGAGCTGCCTTTGTCATAGACAGAAGGAGCATCACGCCATGGTTGGATCTCTAGCCACATAACACTGAGTCTCTGACTTGTTGGTGCCTATTGTTCATCTGTTCCCTGTGGTAGAAAGAGGAACTGCTGGCCGCTGACAGCAGGGTCACTAAGACCTCTCATTATCAGAGTGAAAAGGAGGGATGGACCCTAAAGAACATTATTAGAGTTAAGCCCCACCCTCCCACAGTCCTATAATCACTGTAACTGTGGCCTCTAGGAAGGGGAGGCTGGAGGTGAATATGAACAGTGCTTCTTCTAGGTAACCCTCAGTGCAGAGGTAGAGATGTACTAACACTTTAATTTTCAATTTATCTATCTCCTCTCAGTTTCCCCAAAGTTGACAGTGACAAACAAGACTTACCCAGAGGGCAGGAGCAGCTTAACATGCTGGGCTTCTAATCTGTATTCTCCTGTGGTCACCCTGGTCTGGCTTCAGCATGGGAAGCCAGTACAGCAGCAGATCTTTGGGCCTGGGACCATCCTACCCAGTGGTGATGGGACCTACCAGACCTGGGTGTCTATTTGGGTTCTTCCTGGACAGGAGCCAGAGTTCACCTGCCACCTGAGGCATCGCAGCAATATCATTGAGGCCCCTGCATTCCTTGGTGAGAAAACAGGACAGCCATCCACATCAGGGCATGGGAGGCAAAGTGAGGGAGAGCCTGTGGAGCACAATCACTAAAGCTTTCTTGGTGGCCTCCAGGACATCAAGCCAGGAAAACTGGTGGCGCCACCAGCTCTGCCTCAGCTCTGGTGGCTTCTGCACTTTGTACCCTGTTGGTGTTTCTACCAATTGCCTAGAGCAGCAAGAATGAGCAAGACATCAAGAGACAAGGTGAGCATCCCTGCAGGGTGTGGGATTGGGTAACAAGAGTGGTTCCAGGCCTTTTCTTCTCTGTATAAATTATACAGCTAGGACTATAGACGCATAAACACCATTTGGCCCCACTAGTTAATGGAGGGTCCCAAGGAGCCACCATTCAGAACCTGTGGACCTGCCCTGTTGTTGGAAGGCACTGGCCATTGGTGCTGCCTCCCACATGTTCCTAGATAAATTATGAAACACAGAAACAGGGAAGCTGACTGGAAACCCACAGCAAAGTCAAGACTGTGGCACACTACATGTCCCTGTCTCTTTACCAAATACACAGAATGAAAAGAATCACACAATATGGAAAGAGACCTGGTAGCCCACAAGTTGACTGAGAGTCACTTTACCAGGTATCTATTCCAAGTGTCATCTTGATTCAAACATGGAAACTTCCTCCCGAAGGTATTCATCTGGGTGATATAGTGTATGTATACATAAATACAAATATTTAAAGGATTTTAAAGATATTTTGATCTCTATTGCAATCCAGTGGTGGTATCTGGACCCCTACCAAACAACACAACCTTATGTTCAACAGCCTGTCCTATAAATGTGATGCACTGCAGTAAGAGTGACATAGAGTTTGTGAAAGTTGTCACGCAATGACTAATTCAGACTCAGACCTATAGCAAAAGTGTGGCTCAATCCTCTCACTGCCTTTAGAGTCCTAGGAACCAGAGACTGGATGTCCCAGAGATGTAGGATAGAACCAAACATCACTGTAGATAAATTGTCAGTGCTCTGTGAGTAGGAAGTGCCTATGCGCATGCTCAAGTGGGCTGGTTTGGACAGAGCAACTGCTGCTCAGGTCCTACACCTAGTAGTCTTGGGCTGTTTAAGAAAGCTAGTTAGACAGAAGCCACAGTGAGAACAAGCCAATAAGCATTTCCTCTACAGTTTCTACTTCAAGCCCCTGCTTTGCATTCCTGTCCTAACTTCTGTTAGTCATGGATGATAACCCAAGAGTGGTAAGATAAAATAAACCCAGAACCTTCATGTCACAGAACCCTTCAGAGAGACCTGGAAGCAGAAGAAACCAGCCACCATCATTGGCTACCATTCTGGTTTTGCCCCTCCACCTTCTGGGGAGGGAGAATGAGGGAGGGAAGATAGAACCTTGAATCCTTACCCATGATGAGATGAGAGACTCTCCCTATATCCACTGGAAGAAAAGATGGGAAGAAGACAGTATAAGAACACATCCAACAACAGAAAAACGTATATGACACCACCAGAATCTTGGGACTCTACACCAGCAACACCTGACCATCCCAGCACAGATTAAACAGAACAGAATGACCTTAACAATGACCTCATGAAAATGATAGAGGCCCTCAAAGAGGATATGAGCAAACCCTTAAAGAAATGGAAGAAAACATAAACCAAAAAAGAGGCCAGTATGGGACTGATCCAAACCCTCTGAACCTGGGTGTTAGAGAAGAGGCCTCGGCAATCTATGGGACCGTGGATAGTAGTTCAGCATTTATACCTGGCATACAAATGGACTTTGGGTGTTTGGGTGCCCATTTCACAGGGAGGTATACTCTCTCAGCCTGGACACATTGGAGAGGGCCTAGGCCATGCCTGGGATGATATGACAGACTTTGAAAATCCCCCATGAAAGGCCTTCCCCTCCCTAGGGAAATGAGGGTGGATGGAGTGCTGGGTCTCGTGGTTGGGGAGGGTGGGGAAGGAGGGGTGGGAGAGGTAGCTGGGAGTAACATGTGTAAAAAGTTAAATAAAAATTTTAAACAGATTAAATAAAGCCTTTGCTCCCTCCCAATAAATAGAAAAATTGTCAATGTAATGATGCCTAGTAATATTCTGTCATCCTCATAGATTGGTATCTAGCTCAATTGCATCAGAGGGGCTTCATCCAGCAACTGGTGGAAACAGATGTAGACAGCCACAAATGCAGAGTCAAACATTAGGCCGACCTCAGAAAATTCTGCTAGAGGAGAGGGATGAGGATTGTAGTATCCAGAGAAGTCAAGGACATCACAAGAAAACCCACAGAACAAACTAACCTGGGCTCATAGGAGCTCACAGAGACTGAACCAACAACCAGAGAGCCTGCATGAGACTGACCTAGGTCCTCTGTGTATATGTGACAGTTAGGTAGCTTGTGGGACTCCTAACAGTGAGAGCAGAGACTGTAACTCCTTTACTGGCTTTTGGGACCCTTCTCTGAAGACTGAGTTTCTGTCCTGCCTTTTCTCACAGCTATGTAGCCCCAAATAAACACACAGAAACCTATATTAATTAGAAACTGTTTGGCCAATGGTTCAGGCTTCTTATTGGCTAGCTCTTTTTTAATTATTAACCCATTTTTATTAATCTAAGTATTTCCACTTGAACTTTTCTTATAGAAGAAGGGCCCAGACCTGTTATTCCTTCCTATGCTACATGCTGTCACCTCATAGCTTCTCTCTGCCTCCTCTCCCCATCATTTTCCTTGTCTGGTAGCCCCACCTATACTTCCTTTCTTCACACTAAGTCACCCTTACCATCCTTAATACATGGGGGATACTTATTCTTACTATAACTTGATATGCCATGTTTTGTTGATACTCATGGGACACTTGACCTTTTCTGAATAAAAATGGAGGTGTAGATATATCGGGGGCACAAGATGGGGGAGGGGTAGGAACTAGGAAGAGAGAAGAGAGGGGGAACTGTGGTCAAAATGTAAAACTAATTAATCAACTAAAGAAATGACTAATGAATGATGAATCAGAATTAATTTTTAAATTCCATGATTTTAAAATATTACATGGTCTAGATGCCCCTCAACTGAAGAGTAGATAGAGAAAATGTGGTATATTTACACAATGGAGTATTACTCAGCAGAAAAAAAAACAATGGAATCTTGAAATTCGCAGGTAAATGGATAGCACTGGAAGAAAGCATCCTGAATGAGGTAACCCAGTCACAATAAGACAAACATGGTATGTACTCACTCATATATGGATTTTAGACATGGATCAGGAGAGTGCCAGTCTGCACTTCCAATGACAGAGAGTCTGGGAAACAGGAAAGAACATAAAAGATATGCATGGTACCCAACAGAAGAGAAATGAGGCAAGATCCTCTGAACAGATGGGGAACACGGCGAGGGGTGGGGGGGAGGGGGAGCTGGGAAATAGAACAGGAAGGTTGACAGGGGCAGTAGGATAGGGGGGAAGAGGGAATCATAGGTTAGAAGACAAATCAGGCACCATTGTGACCTCTAGTGATCTAAAGGGTTGACACCAATTGGCAAGCTAAGCAATAGTGTAGAGACCACCTCGAATGACCATTCCTGATAGTGAACTTGATGTCTATAACCATCCTGGAGCCTTCATCCAGTGACTGATGGAAGCAGAGGCAAACACCCACAGTTAAACACTGAACAGAAACCAAGGAACCCAGTGACAGAGAGAGAGGAGCGATGGGCAAATTGGCAGAGAATGGGCTGGCAAAACCAGCAGAGGCAGCTGATCTGAACAGGAGAGAGCTCTTGGACCCCAGACCGACAGCTGGGAGGCCAGCATGGGACCGATCCAGACCCCCTGAATGTGAGAATCAGTGAGGATGCCTGGGCTACCTATGGGGTCCTGAGCAGTGGATCAGTGTTTATCCCTCGAATACTAACAGACCTCATGTGTCCATAACACAAAGAGGGTTGCTCTCTCTGCCTGGACTCTTAGGGAAGTGCCGGGGCCCTACCCTGAGTGAAATGACAGACTCTAGATATCCTCTATGTGGAATGAATTGGCAATAGGGTGGGAGGATTGGGGGAATGGTGGAGTGAGGGAGGTGGGGAGGGAGAGGGAACTGGGATTGGCATGTAAAACAATTTGTTTAAAATTAAAATAAAAAATTATATGATGTAAGTATCAGAAATAGGTAAGTGTCTTCTAAAATTGATTCTCAACCTGTGGGTCATTACCACTTTGTGGCCATATATCAGATGTCCTGCAGAACACGTAATTACATTAGGAACCATAACAGTAGCAAAACACAGTTATGAAGTGAACAAAAAATTTTTGGGGTTGTGAGTCACTACCACATGAGGAACTGTTTGTTTTAAAGGGTCATAGCATAGAAATGCTGAGAAGCATTGTTCTAGATGTTTCCCATGTGGGGCTTGTACTACTCCATCTAACTATACTGGGATATCATCCACCATTCCTATTTATCACATGTGAGTCAGTATGGATGTATCCCACCGATCTGAGTGACCTGTTAGGCCTATGACTTTGGGGTCTAGTAAAGGTTACATATACAGTTTTTCAGACATTGTCAATTCATACATCACTTTAGCTTTCCAATCTCTAGTTACCCCATAGAATGAAGGTATCTCAGTATGAAAGTGAGAGTCCGGTGATGTGATTTGAGAGTGAAATTCCCCCTTTGGTGGTGTGCTCCAGGGTTCTAAGAACTGTGTGCCTCTGACTGGACAACATGAGAAACTGGCCAACTGGTTGGCCTGTCATGAAGTTACCCACAGTGTCTGGGTGAAGACAGTTTTCCAGGACCCCGCATTGCCCGCATCCTATTTTACTGAGGGAAAGGATTAGCTAGACCTTTGGCTATTAGCTACAGTCCCAGCCAGTTTGAGGGTTGATGGGACATGTGGAGAAAATGAAGTTATGACTTGACATCAAATTGTGTTTATACTCACTGATTGTGTTAACCCTTCATGAATGTTAATGACTGGGAGATCCTCTATTATTGAAAATAGAGGAACTTCAAAATGACTTGCATCAATTGTACCCCTGTAATTGTGTAAACCCCATCTGCTCATGAGATTGTCTCTTGCTCCACAGCCTTAGTCATGGCTCCTGTGATTCATCATGTGATTTTGAGCAACAGATTCTCATGGAACTGCATCAGGCTCTTTCTAGAAAAAAGGAAGTTATTTGGTTTTATTTTAACTACTGTTTTTGAATCAGTTACTGCTTTAACATCTGTAGCAGCTTCCACAGTGGCCCTGACCCAACAAGTACAAATTGTTTATTTTGTTTATCAACTTGCTTTAATATTTCTGGGACGTTGGCAACACAAGAATGTATAGATTCAAACCTATAGCTTCATTACACACCTTAGAAGTTGTGGTATCGCACCTTGGAGATATCGTACAAGCAACACAACCTCACTTAGCTCTACAGTGTCTTGCTAGCTGTAGATATGTCGGTATTACTCCCTGGAGGTATACTCAATCCAGATAAACATCAGATAAAATTAAAAACCACTTACAGGGAATATGGTGTCATAAAAATGTTTATTTAGATTTATCAACACTTAGGAAATTAATCACTATGTTAGGCTGTGCTCAGCTCAAATTTAATTCCACTTTGGTGGCAGAAGGCACAAGGATCATACCTTTTTATAGTTAGTGAGAAAGAGGAAGAAGCATTTCTTTATGTAGCCACTTGCTACACATTCTCAGCTTTGAGGAATGTCATGGGAACCAGAATAAAACAAAAATGAATGTGTCTCATTTGGGATTTCCCCCCAAGCTTGCTTCAAAATATGAAAACCAGAGAAAACTCCCCTCCTGTGAAACATCTACCTAAGGACTGCTCTACCCTGACCAGAGCTGCAGGTTTGAGCTCCTTCATTGGAGCCTCGACCCAGGACTGATCATTGACCAATGAGGACTCTGGTTAGATTTCTGAGAGGTTAAAAAGAAGGGAGGCAGAAAAATAGGTGCCTGACCTTAGACAGGCAGGACTGTTTTTATTGAAGCACATGGAAAGAGCATAACTCTAAAAGATGGCTGGAAATGATTGCAACATGTACATTATGTTTCATCTCTTCCAGGCTTTCTTTGCCGTGATGCAAAGGAAGTTGGGAAATAGTCTTTTTCCAAGACACTCTTCAGGCCCCCACTTAAATAGCACAGACTGCATAAATGGAAACTCCACACATGGTCACTTATGTTAACCCACACAGACAGTGTACCAGCCATTCTGGATCCCCCTTTCACACCCTTTAAATTACATAGCACAAACTGCCAGTAAATAACTCACCAATACATACTGAGGGAATATGTCCCCAAAGTTGAAACTTCCAAAATACCCTCATCCCCTCCCTATTCTCCCACCCCATTCACCATTACCCCATGGAGACACACCTCTAGGCAGGGGCTCTACCACTGAGCCACACCCTCAGTCCCTCACTGGGGGATTCTAGGCAGGCAGTCTCCCACTGAGCCATGCCCCCAGCTCCTCTCTAGAGGATTTTAGGTAAACCCTCTTGCATTATATTTTGTCTTTTCCTTTTTTCTCTCTTTTATTACTTGTATTGTGGCATAATCAATTTTAATAAATTGCTTCAAAGACTCAACTTTAGTATTGTTGGTTCTTCATGGAAGTACTAACCAGACACAATAATGCTTAGTTTCTAAGACCAGAAGAAAGCAGGCCTTTTCGGGTTGGTATGGCCACAGGTTTTGTTGCTTTTATATTAATTTTATTTTCCATGCCATAAAGCTTTTGTTTATTGAGGTTTATAGAGAGCTGGGCAGGGAACCGAATTGATTCTCAATGATAAGCTTCTTGTCAACCATGTTCTTGTGACAGTGAAGTACTCTTAATGTGAATAGAACCTTGTAATGCATGTCTCTCTGTGTGTCCATTTGTGCATCTGTTTGTCTCAGTATGCATGTGTCTGTGTGTTTGTGTGTGT